AGTTAAAAGGCATGCAAACTTCTAAACTAGAGATGTGAAAGGAGTACTATTATCAATGAAAGGTTTACGAAAGGGGTAAACTGAATTTTCTGACAAAAATGGTCTATAAAAGGGTAAGGGGTTAGACCGCGCGGCGCAGCCTCCCCGTATAAAACTTTGTTGAGTATCTGCCCCAGATTCCCTACTGGCTTGAAAAACCAGCTAGCTAGTGGCTAGTAAAGAACATGTTATTCTACTCCAGTTAGCTGTACTATAGATTTACTTAGCAAAATTAAGTGAAACATAAAAATAGCCTCTCAAAATGTTAAGTGAAGGTGTAAATAACACTGAAAATACGAAAGGAGGTACGGATGGACAAACTTAAAGAAGACTGAAACAGATTGCAGTTGTGGTTTTTTGACACTTGTTAGCCTAACAGTTTTTTTCTTTGTAACGTTTGATGTAATGCTCGGGACTCGGAGACAAATTTGTTTGACACGGGGCGGTGATTTTGTCAACTAATTTCCTAGGTTCCATCGTGAATACGGACGCATTACTGGACAGCCGTGACACTGCCGATTTAAAATAACGAGTTTGGCTAACTGTCAGATGTTACGTTTTGGCTGATGTTAGCAGCTGCTGGCCCATGATTTCTGAATTGAGTGCTTTCCCTTTCTGTGAGAACATTGCACCTACTGGGTGCAAATATACGTCAGATGTCCAGGATTGAATACTGCCTCGAGACTGAATAAGTTACTAGGAGACCCGTATGTGATAGCTCGAACGAGCTTTTGTGACTATGTGCGCACACACAATTACGCTACCACTTCAGTTTAGGCTACGTTGATTAAAGAGTCGATCGTTGCGGTCTTTGAGTTTCAGCGGGCAGAGTAAAAGTTTCTTTAACAATTGTGTAACTACAACGGAGATGTGTCGCAGTTTGCCAATGATGATGTAACACATGTGGTTTGTACTGAGTACGAAGAAGATAACGTAAGTGTTAAATGACTTTTTCAATGACTATTTACTTTATATCTTCATCAGTTAAGAAAGAGAGGTGGAGAGATAGTAGAGCCTCCTGCCTTTCTCCGGTTTCCTTTTCAGTTCTTTTGCTTTCTCCAGTCCTACCAAGCTTGAAAAGGGATCGCTCGCCGTCTAAATTTTGTTTAAAACGGAAGGAAGTTCACTATACTTGTCTATCCTGTGCTCAGTATTTAAAGTAGGACCCTAGGCTGGTAACAAGCTTATCTATGGTATGGAAAATGTAACAGTTTTGTTCTTAGCTTAGATTTTTGCTTAAGGACGAATATAACATTCTGGTAATTAAGGTTTCTGATCAGTTGTTTGAGTTGACTATTTTTCTATTTGTACTTGTTGCAGTTTCCTTCTCAATCAGAGTTGAACACTGGAGTGAAGATTGTCAGCGTAAAATGGCTGGAAAGCTGCTTTAGAAAAGGACGTATCCTGGACACAAGACCATATGAAATAGTAAAAACTACTAAGCGGTAACCAACCTGGATTGAAGGAAGAGAACAATAATTGAGGTTGCTTAGATTCGTCAATGTACCTCGAGTATTTTCGTTGAGTCTTTTGTTCCTTAAACATACTCAAAACGATGGCTGGCCGAACAGAGGGCTAAGATGAATGCAGGTCAACACATCCAAAGAGGAGACAATCATGCTTCTATTAGTAAAACATACCTCCACTACTACACACTGGGAAATACAAGACTACTGTCATCGATGCCAGCCTTGCTTAATTGGTTTCTAACAAAGTTACCGTTATAATTATACAAAACTATGGTTTTTCTAACATTAGCCCTTCTCCATAGCTCTCAGTCGACTTTAATAGAGAACTTTAGCAACGACAACGACGACGACGACGTCAACGAGAACGGCAAAAAAAAAAAACAATAGGTTTAGGCTATGTTCGCACTATGCCGCAAGGCTTTTGCGCCAGTACGAAAACCATACCGGATAGTAAAACCGGATAGTCACATATCGGATGCCAGCACGAAAACCATACCAGATAGTCACATATCGGATAGGTGTTCACACTATACCGGATAGCATTTGGTGTCAGCACGAAAACCATACCAGATAGTCACATATCGGATAGGTGTTCACTCTATACCGGATAGCATTTGGTGTCAGCACGAAAACCATACCGGATAGTCACATATCGGATAGGTGTTCACTCTATACCGGATAGCATTTGGTGTCAGCACGAAAACCATACCGGATAGTCACATATCGGATAGGTGTTCCCACTATACCGGATAGCATTTCGTGTCAGCACGAAAACCATACCAGATAGTCACATATCGGATAGGTGTTCACACTATACCGGATAGCATTTCGTTTCAGCACGAAAACCATACCGGATAGTCACATATCGGATAAGTGTTCACACTATACCGGATAGCATTTCGTGTCAGCACGAAAACCATACCGGATAGTCACATATTGGATAGGTGTTCACACTATACCGGATAGCATTTGGTGTCAGCACGAAAACCATACCGGATAGTCACATATCGGATAGGTGTTTACACTGTACCGGATAGCATTTCGTGTCAGCACGAAAACCATACCAGATAGTCACATATCGGATAGGTGTTCCCACTATACCGGATAGCATTTCGTGTCAGCGCGAAAACCATACCAGATAGTCACATATCGGATAGGTGTTCACACTATACCGGATAGCATTTGGTGTCAGCGCGAAAACCATACCGGATAGTCACATATCGGATAGGTGTTCCCACTATACCGGATAGCATTTGGTGTCAGCACGAAAATCTGTCCGGTGTAGTGTGAACATAGCTTTTGATAATCAAACCAACTTTGCACGAGCTTCACTCTTTTTTGTACTTTTCTCTGCCGTCCTTGCACGACCACGACGTGAAACTGCGTGAACACAAGACAAGGATTTTCTAATTCGTTTTTAAACTCAGATACAGTCCTTTAGAATTCAATTCCAGACAAATACACGAACATTTGAGCAATTGAATGCCATGGAATAAGAACGATGAATTTTGAAACGACGTGTTTGCTAAGGAATTTCCTAAACGAATGTAAGTAATAACGTTGTTTTGGGGCGTTATCTGAGATGACCTCAGAAGGAAAAAGTGGAAGAGCGTTTGTGAAACCCCTTCCACAGGGATGTCAAATATAAAAGAACTTTTTTAAAAATTGTTTCTTGGTGTTATTGGTTAGCTATTATGTTTTGGTGTGGTAATTATACAGTGTCTCTTCATTTGATGTTTCTGCCACCCGCTTCATTAAACTGCGGATTGTTATCATGCTTGCGGCTGTTGTGATTTTGATGACCATACCTTGTGATCCCAAATCAGCGAGTGATTTTTAGAAAAAGCGACATCCTAATGCGAGATTAAGGTTATACATATAAGCTACATGTACATACACTCTACAGTGTTTAGATTCTTGAACTCTCCTTGTTTAAAAATGGGAATATTTTGCTAAGTGCTTGGTATATATTGCTTTGCCTGCCTCTTTGAAACAGGATTAGAATTCAAACGAAGACTAGGGTAGAATATTAAAAAATATATGTATTTAACAGATTATTCAGTAACAGCCAGTGCCAGGAGAAGTTCTCAGAAGTAAGTTAATTCATAGCCTTGGACGTAATTTGACATTTAAAATCTGTAAACTAAACCGCGGCTTAAACCCCCAGAAAGCAACTCATTTTATGTCGTGTTGTGATCCGAGTATTTGTTATATAAATGAATAAAAAAATCCCGACTAACCTTCGCACGAGTTGAAATGAGTCACAAATTGTGCTTAGATGGCTCAGCGAATGGCTGAATCAGACTGTGGCCGGTCTGTAGGGATAAATAGGGATAACAGGTCTAAACCGGACATAACTTTACTTCCCCCGTAGGAAATTAATTTCCCATCCTCCTTAAGAGAGGTACGATCACACCTAGGCTACAATTCACAGTAATCAGTTAGAATGTTGGACTATTCTCAGCAACGACCCATGCCCATTTAGACCCTCAGTTCTGTGTTGCCCCCCGGTCCCACTTCCCCGACAGGAATCCTCCCCCAATCCTCACAGTATCCCCCCAATCCCCGTCCCTCATCTCCGGAAGTTTAAGTGCCAGCTGTTTTCTTTTGTTCCTCTAACTTGACGTAATTCAACTGTTGCTCTATGTAAATCCCCTTTTGTTGCGGTTATTTTAGTATCAGAAAAATAAATAGCTCTGGCATATCCGCAAGTAATTATTGTGGATCAGTTAAGACCAAACTCTTTACTTAAAGAAATTTGAACTAAACTGTTTAAAATTGATTTTTCATTGGCTTATCTTCTTGTCGCAGTACGTAAAAAGTACTCTTTGGAAATATTTTATATCCATGGTAAAAATTCAGTTCCAGTTGAGTTTTATCACTTTAGTTATTAATTAAGCGGGAAAAAATCGAGAAGTATCTCTTTGGTGTTGCTTTGAATTGAATGTTTTTTAAACATGACGGTGGTGTTGTCGATCGCTAAAAGATATTGCACAAAGCAGCATTGATGTTTTTTATAATAGTAATGTGAAAAAAGGTTTTTTGACTTAAATTATTAATGATTTCTGATCATTAAATATTATTATGACACGGAAAAAGTATTTTTAAGAATCTGCAATTCTTCCTAAAAATCGATTTGAAGGAATGGCTCTGAAATGTTCAGCAAGTGACTCTTCAAACTTCTTTGTTTTGCCGGAACTCCAAGAACATTTATTTCGAATTTCTTTTATTTAGAGATTTAGCGAAAGTAATTAGAGGAATGGTAAAATCTTATTTGCTAGTTATTTGTTAATAGTCATTAAATATGTATAACTGTTTCTAGATTTTCCCCTATGAAAACAGGCCGATCTGCTGATTCTGCGATTCTTCATCTGTATTCCGATTACACCTCGAAGTTAAGGAAGGTCGAGTAGTTCGCAAGAATTTGCTCTTCCACTTCTTACACGAATCTACGACAAGGCACCAAATTGCATTGCTGCTACTAAAAAAATTATGATTTTTATCTGTTTCGGAAGTTTTATATTCTTGGCGTATTTCGCTGTAAGTGAAAATTTGCTGTATTTAAAAATGCCTTTCTAGTTTGCTGACAACATTTGGTTTCTTTTTTGACCGGCAAAACCGTGATTTTTAAGGCGTAATTCGTAGTCACTTGTAATTGTGCTTTCTTGATTTTGTTTGCATAGAAAAGTGTGAGTCTTAAACTTATGTTGTTGCTATTCACTTGTCCAGTTTCCCCAATCAGTATTTATTGCCCCTTCTATTATGTCGACAGCACAACAGAAATGCTTTCATAGCTTGAAGCTTGAATCTTTTTCCTTCTTAGATTCCTGTTTCAACTTCAAGAAAACAAGTTCGCCCAGAAGGTAATCTACTTATTCATTTGTTTTTAAACTGAACTATCATACTTCACATTTTTCGCAGGAAAACCAAATATATGGTAAAATCAACTTCCTCAAGTTCAACGCTGATTTTGAAATCTAGAGTTTGAATAGCAAAAAGCAACGTTCACTTTTATCGTGTAAAATAAATTTAGAAACTAATTTGGCGGTTCATCTTTACTTAAAAAAAAAAACAACATTACTAAGTATAGAAATTAATAAGACTAGTAAATTTTGTTGGTAAAGTAATGACATTAATAATGATATAATTGCACAACTTTTACTTGCAGTTTTGAACACTTTTAAGTACTAGACATAAACTTAGTGCAAACAGAAACAGCCTAAAGGTAATCCTTTAAAGAGATAGATCTCTTTGAAAAATTTAATTCTGTGTCGCGCATATTTTTCAAAGTAGAAGTACGCTTGTCTTTTGACGCAGTTTCGAAACAAACGGATATAAAATTTTATTTAGAGCAAGTAGGTGTCCTTACACCAAAAGGTCTTCTTCGGCCAAGAAATATTCCCGAACTAGTGGCACTCAAAAGTGAGAAAATTTAAGATTCTTCGGTTGCTAACCGAAAAAATATTGAATAATTAATGCCAGAACAGTCGATAGCCTAATTTAGGACAGACTGGATCTTATTGTACTTCTTGCGGTTTGTTCAATTATGAAGTAGTTATTTAAAAGATACGTATGAGTACAAACTGAGATAATTGTTAAAAAACCAAGACCGTTCTGTTAATGAAGTTGCGTGAAATGGAGTTCCCCTTTAAAACAAAATACACCGAATCATATTCTGAATTTTAGGCGGTTTTACATTGTGCTTTTTAACAACATTGTCCAGGCTTATTTTGGAATGGATTTTCTTTGATCTACCAACTTAATACGTGCCGTGGATGACCTCGAGGGGGCAAATGACCCACGTTTGGGCATTGTGGTTCCGCTGACGGTTTTGAACCATTACCCTGTTTGTGAAAAAGGGAAACCAATAAAAACCTAAAAAAAACTACTGTGTTCAACAACTGTGACAACATGCACCTCTATTTTAGATCCGAACATAACATTTATAATAGGTGATAATATACACGCTCTTTTGATTCTTTATGAGAAAAAAAACCAGTTTAAAACGTAACAAGCTCCAATAAAATTGTATAACCAGTCCAGGGCATTTCTTCAAACTCCCGAACAGTTTTTTATATCCAATTTTCAACGATCCTTGAGAGGTTTTGTGCAAAGTACGCCTGAACGTACTTTCGATCTGGTAAATTTCTCAAGTTTTTCAATTTTATTTTTATTTAAAATCACATTTGTGCGAGCCAAACAGGCCAAAGTGCCCCACCCTATCGATGATGCTGTGCTGTTTTAATTTTAAGAATAAATACATTTCGTAAATCTGCTATCAACTCTTGAATACCACACGTGACCAACAGATACAGCTATACTTAATAATCCCTGATCACTTCCTTATCAACATTTAACGTCATGACAATAGAGGCAATGATCTTCAAACTCTCTTCACTGGCACCAAAACAATTTTATGGGGAACAGTGTGGAGAATATGTATTTAAATAAGGGGATTTCAAGGGGTTCCCTAACAACTGAGAATCGAGCCCACCTCCTCATGTAATACCTACAAGAAGACGATATTCCTCTTAATCGTCATCATTATCAGACCTCTTCGTTCCCGATAGAACACAGGTCCTCCACTTATGCTCGCCATCTGACCCTATTTTGAGCAAAGACTTTTGCTTCTGGCCAAGTAAGTCCTTTTTCTTCAAGTTCTAACATCATTGTGCGCCTTCAAGTGTTTAGGGGTCTCCCTCTCTGACGATTCCCCTGTGGGGTCTCAAATGCTGTCTTAGCCACATGTCTGTTTGGTCTCCTTAGTTTGTGGCCAGTCCATCGCCATGTTCATTCTTTTACCTCCTCCTTTATCACCTGCGCATGCTGCCCTGATTGTCTCCACAGCTTTTCATTTTGGATACTCCTATTATTTTTTTCAGAGCACCTTGGGTGTTATAAGATATCCGCAGAGAATCGTGTGTTCGTATCAAGTCCAGGGGATTATGATATGGAGGATATTAGCCCTCTGCACTGTCTGAGGCAGTGCGGCAGGAAATATCGGTATGCTACTCTACAAGAGGGCAATGTCTGTCTGTGCGCCAACACACTACCAACTGCTGGCCAAGTGAATGGTTCTGAGTGCAATATGACATGTCCAGGCCATGATTCTTGGCCCATTAACGATCAAGCACTTAGGTGAGAAAAACTTAGTTGGTCATTTATATTCCGCAGATTTCCATGCAGTCTTTGACGATTTTGTGATTGTGAAAGGAAAAATCAAAGGTGTGAAGGACGCCCGATTCTTGAGAAGACCTGGATCAGTAAAAACCGTCAATACGAAACATTTTGTTAATAGTCATTTGACTAGGAATGCCGTTTTTGCTGACTCTCTAACTATGAGTTTATTTCAAATAGAACGAAAATTCACAATTACATGTCCTAGACCAACAAGTTTGCAGCCTATCGCGATAGGTACGTTTGAGCAACCGGGGCCTGGTTTTTAACAAGAGAAGGGAAAAAGGGTCAAGAGCTTTAATGCGGCCGGTCATTCTGTCGAGGTGGTCATAAAGAAAATACAGGGACTTCGAGGATTTCTTCCATTCGTTTATGTCCCCTCGTATTGTTGATACGTTCGCAGATTGAAATTAGGATGGTTCTTAAAGTACGTAGAACTAAGCAGCTTCCTTTGGAGTTACGAGTTTGATGATGATTGGAATTTGTCGGTAATATGCTACAAGACTTGTTTCCTTCCATGTGGAAGTTGGCAAGGCTGAGGACTCGCACCTATGTGGCCTAGGTTCGAATTCCGGAGGGGCTTAATATGTACGTTGAGGTTGTTGTTTGTTCTCGTCCTCGCTGCAAGGCATTCCCCCCCACCCCCCCCCAGATACCTCGCAGTTTCCGGCTTTCTCTTTTAAAACGACAGTTCAATGTGGAGTGTACGAACCCCTTCAAACGATTTCTTAAAATGTTTTAAGTGCTTTGTGGGTAAACAAGTTACATTTACATTTTATTTGGTAGAGTCATCAGTTTTCAATAACACGTGATTCTCTTTTTATTTTCTCCCAGATGCGGAGGACGACTTCGTAACAGCATTTATTCTGCATCCGAAAGAATATTGGGACTCAGTCTCATGAAGAGTGGGCCACTGCCTGTTCTGAAACCGGTGACAATATCCGGGAAAATGATCAACGGAATGAATGTCACCTTCACGTTCTCACTCGGAGATGGCTCCCGGACACTGCAGCCTGTGGACAACCCACAAGTCCATCACATTTATGACCAGCCAGGGTCGTACATAGTTTCTATGACAGCTACGAATCTCGTCACAGGCTCCATTACTGTGACAGAGGTACCATGGCTAATATATAGGGAGATGATCAGGGACTTATCCTTCCACTCTCAAATCAAAATTTAGCGGGGGGAAAGTCACAACCTTCATCTGGAAAATAAATTATTACAGATTCAAATTATTACTCAAGAGGCAGTTTTTATGGTTACTCCTAAGTGATTGCGTCTATATAGTCAAAAGGTTATGTTACAAGTTTAAACTTCCAGATTACCACCTAACGTTGTGATGGATGTATCAGACATCGCTAAAAATGTAGAACAAAAACCTAAATGTAATGTTCAAGGCTAAAGAAACGCGAGTCGAGATGGATAAAAGTTTCTATAGTGACCAATATCTCGAACAGTAAAAGACTAGTTTCACTGGGGCTTTCTTTATTTCAGTCTTGCATATTATGTTTCTTTTCTCTTTTAAAACCTCAAGTTGAACTGAATTAATAATTGTCGAAACGGTACGAAAAAGAATCATCGGAATTTGTAGAAAGTACATATTAATCAACTGTGAATTAGTCAAATAATATAATTGTAATGCCAGGCTCACAGGTAAGCGAAGATATGTCTCATTTCGTTACTCCTTGTCGTCTTTACAGATGTATGATGTGGATGATCCCTTGGGACCTGTAGAGTTACACTGTCCGCGCTCGGTTCCCTTAGGATCGTGGGTGGAGTGTAATGGAACTCTCGTTCGGGGAACAAGAGTTAACAACACTTTCTCCTTCGGAGACGGGCAATACGAGTTCATTTCCTTGAGTAAGTGACCTAGAAGAATCCCAGAGGTTTTCTTTCCTCCTTCTCCTCAAACGATTCGGCCAGTCTTCGCCACTTCGCATGTGAAGTTTCTTTCAGGAGAAAAAAAACTTCTGAAACTTTTGAAGAGTGATGATAACAAAAGTCAATCGACGCTTCTAATACAACAGTAAATTAATACTGATTCGAAGCAAAGAAAGACCCAACAGCAGCAGGATAAAAATACATTGAACAAACTATCAGCTTGGTAAATACGCTTCTTCCTTTTCAAGGTTTTTCTCCATCTCTTCAAATTTATGCACACTAAGGCAATGACCATATTTTAGCATAATTACTATTCACTATACTTCGTTAGGTGCCCGCTATTACAGTGCCGGTCCACGAATTCCTCGAGAAAACGACTCATCATCTTTCATCTCGTCGAGTCCCCAGGGAATTATCGTATCCCCGCCGTACGAGTTCCGTCATGACGGTAGAGTCACAGAGTGGGAATTTGAAGCTGTAAAACAAGGGATCGTAATATTGCTGGTGAGCGAGCTACCTCTTTGATCTGCTGTAGGGTTTTCTTAGCTCTGCTTATCAGGCAAAATTTTACCTGGAAATAGTTCTCACTTTTTTCCACTGTAATCCCTTCGCCGCTTTTTCTTCATCTTTTTGCTTCTTCACTTTCAGATTTCTTTCATTGATGTGTTTTGGTCCAACAACCTGACAAAACTAACTAGCTTGTACCCGTTTCGGACGAACGTAACAGTAAAGTAATAGAATGCTCTGCAATTGGTGAAACGTGATAAACCAGTTTCGACCGGTAAAATAAATTATAATTGCGAACGTTAGGGCTTGGCTCAGAAGCCGTACTTCACATGACCCGAATCCAATTCGAATTTAGCCCGACTCTACTTAATCAAGTCGGTAAAATTGATTCAGACGCCGATCTTTATTCTAGCCGAACTAAATTCAATAGGGAAAAAACGCGCATTTTGTTAAACTGCATTACAAATATTTATGCATTTGGTTCAGCTCATTCGAAGTTCTTGGCGTCTGAATCAAGGCCGGTCCATAGCCGTTATTCCCGGCTGAGCCAGGCGTCAAGCACGGCTAAGCAGATCCAAATTCAATTAGCAATTTTGAAATTGATTCAGAAGCCACACTTCACATGAACTTAATTCCCTGAATTCGATTCGGCTCATGTGAAGTACGCCGTCTGATAAGGGCATTAAATTTTTTTTGATGTTTCTTGCTATTTTCAGATCCTCCGGCCGAAGTGTGCTGCTGGCGAGAAATATTGCTTGTCCGGCAAGTCCTGTTTACCCAGCAGTGACAGATGTGAACCCATCAATATAAACAGATGTCAGCCTTGGGAAATATATTGCATATTCCGACGTACTTGTATTGCCAATACAACCCAAAGTAACACCTCCTGTGAACCTCTGGCGCCATACCAGAGTGAAGCACCTCGAGCGGATTATGAACTCATATCGGAAAATCGAATCCAAATAGATACAATCGGGCATCATATCAAGAGTTTGCCGATCGATGAGCAACCCTCGGTGAAACAAGGAGATGTACTCGGGTGGATTCCCGAAGGTGGAGAGCTCGCGTTCGCGATTGTAACACCAGCTGAAGGTGCAGCGTTTGATTTTGAGAACAGCGGTAAGCCAAACCTAGGAGAAACACTCCTTCGAACAAGCAATCACAGCGTACACCACAAGCACTACATAATGGCAGCGCATTACGTGCACGCGACAGATTTCGTCATACGTCATCTGTATAACAGCACTGGAATGAAGCATGTATCTTCTAACATCACACAAACGCTTTCTGTGGCCGTGGATATACCTGTTGGAGGCGAAATCTTCATGACTCACTCTAAAGTCGTGAACACGATCGATTCTGTTGAGTTTAGTATTGCATGGCACGTAGGCTCAAACGTTAGCTATTTCTGGGATTTTGGGGATGGCAATCGTCTGATAACCCAGACCAATGTGACTTATTACACATTCAAGTCTCCTGGAAACTATCACATCACCCTTATTGTTGCAAACTCTGTGAACCAAAAGGTTCTACACAGTCACATTTCCGTGTTCGAAATGATTCAAGGATTACGATTCGCTAGGCAAATCGAAGCTCGAGCGACTGGCTTACCAACAGAAATAGAATGGGAAACTGCCGAAGGTACCAATCTTACCTTTATCGTGGATTTCGGAGACGAAAGTCCTCGTTATGAAACGACTACAGTACTCAAAGAGAGTCGAAGAGGATTCATCTTACATAACTATGCTGCCGTGGGAAACTACACGGTCACCGTCTTCGCTTTCAACTTGGTTGGACCCAATATTTCCATCACTTCTCAGGCCGTTGTAGAAATTCCAGTCACTGACGTCGTTTTCACAATCCCTGCTCCGCATGTCACACAGACGGTTTATTTCGCGGTGGGAGACACGGTGACAGTCAATCGGGAAGTTCAAAATGGAACCAATGTCAAGTGCGCGTTTGACTTCAAAGACGGATCACCTCCCACTATAAGCACAAAATATAACACGAGCCACGTGTATACCACTAATGGAACGTACAAGGTAGAAATCACTTGTTTTAATGCCGTGAACTCCGTCAAGCGACTTCTCAACGCAACCCTGGTGGTGCAGAATCTCGAAAACATTACCGGACTGATTTTAAGAGCTTCCCCATCGGTTTTTGGCACGAACTCGAGCATTACAGTTGAGATGACTACCGGGACTGTTTTCGTCTGTACAGTTAGTTTTGGGGACGGCGAAACATTTCAGATCGACTACTCTCATCTTGGAAAAGTACTTTATCATCAATTTTCGGCCGTTGGTTCTTACAATTCCTCCGTGCGTTGCCAGAATCGGTTGGGGAACGAAGAGTATGCAAAAATTCTCGAAGTAGACATTCCAGTCAAAGACGTAACCGTTACAAGTGGCAAGAGATTCATACGGGTACATGAAAACATTTTTATTGACGTTACAGTGAGAGAAGGTTCTCGGATGAAATACTCGTGGGATTTTAATGATGGTAGTACATACGATGCTTATCACGCTGTCGTAGAGGATAACGACCTGGTATCTCGTAGTCATGCGTATGCTTACTCAGGTGAATTTTCAGTAAATGTCACAGTTTCCAATTCTCTGTCTTCGATCGCTGTTGAGTTGCCACATACCTTGGTAGTAGAGTTCCCGGTTGCAAACATCTTCATCAGTACAAATAGTCCCGTTAGGCTTAATCCTGGTCGGGTAACTTTCCACCTAAATTTGTCAGACAATGCAACGCCTCCAACAAACGCCATCTGCGTCTGGAATTTTAGTGATGGGTCTATTCCCACAGTCACAGAGAGTTTGAAAATTTCACCCATGCAACCCTTCGAACATGTCCACAAGTATAAAAGAGAAGGGATTTTTTCTACCTCTGTCAACATTTCCAACAATGTTAGTAGCCTACTATTAACGGCTGAAGTTGACGTGCAGAAACTCATAGATTTAGTGCTAACCGCGGAACGTTTTGAAGACGGAGCTCGGAGCAAAGGATTTGGTGAGCTGAAAAACTATTTCCGTTCTAAGGAAGTTGTACTTTTTAACGTGACTTCTCAACTAAAAGATATCAAGTACATTTGGCATTTCGGTGATGGTTCAACGCCGGGTATAACCACCGAGCCCTATACCGCTCACGTATTTAATCATTCCGGAACGTATACAGTTTCGGTGGAAGTGGACAATATTCTGGCAAAAATGTCCACAAGCAAAGAGATAATCATCCAAAAAGCTGTTGGAGCTATATCGGTAAACTCAAGTTATCCGACATACTTGGGAGATTTGACATATTTCACAATCGATGTTGAAGAGCCGGGTACAGACATGTGCATTGTTCTTGACTTTAAAGATTCGTATACGGCTCATTTTGGTGACGAACGCTGTAACCGAGGCTTGTTACCTCCAAAGCACGTTTACTACGAGTTCAGTGCCAATCAGACGCGCGCTAACCTGAACCATAGTTTCGGCGCCATGGACACATACGCTGTCGAAATGAATGCCAGCAATGTCGTTTCTTCAACAGTTGCGGTTACTCTTGTGAACATTACCAGCAATCCATGTGATGTGCCTACCGTGACAATAGTTGGTGACGGATCTGAATCTCCACCCTCCAAAATAAAGAGGTCACAAAAATTATTGCTTAAACACCGAGCAGAGTACAATTGTCCTGTGGCCGCTAGTCTCTTGTTTAAGTGGAGCGTGTTTCAAGTTACGCTTGACGATCGAAATGACGAAAGTAAACCATTTGAATTGCCCTGTCCAAAAGGTCAGGGCGATTGCTCTTTAAGGGAGATAGCACTTCCCTCCACACCAAGCGATTTGGAGAGAGCTGATTTAGTCGTCAACAAAGGGACACTTCCGTTTGGTCATATCAAGGTTGTCCTCAAACTGGGTTTCAACGGTACGGACAGGGATTTGTCGGACATCTTTACTACTTCCTCCGTTGAGATTGAGGTTGAGCGTTCAGAATTGGTGGCAGTTATAAGAGGTAAGTTAGGAATTGCTTCTTCAGGGCTTGTACTTGTGGGGAAAAACCCGGAAAGTCATAGAATTTAAGAATTTCATTTCCAGACCGGAAAAATTATGGAATGTAATCGTCGGTTGTGTAAAGCCATGAAAAATCTAAGGTATGTTTGGTAGATTAATCACTGTAGAAGTCAAAGCAAGGACGAAAGGAATGAAATAAAGTAAAGTATTAAATAGTTCGAACGGCACACATTTTGGCGAACATCAGAGGCTATGAAGGTCTTTTGATCTGAGTGATGTTGGAAAATACCCTAAAACAAAATAGAATAGCTTTGAAAATTTCCGAAAGTGACAGCTAAGGTCATGGAAAGAAGAATACAGGATTCCTGATCTGCCAGCAGCCAGGGCACGTTAGGGAGCCCGTTTCCACTCCCTCTGTTTTGTCTTCAGGTCAAAGTTTTGATAGTGATAGAGATTACTAAGCAACCTACACGTCTTGAGGCAACTGTAACCCGAGTTCTCGGGCAGAACAGTACCGTATTTTCATTACTAAAGTGGCTGCATTTTTCAAAAGGACAAAAGTCCTGCTTCAATGAAGCTTCAAGGTTTGTTTGATGTTCATTAAAGAGACTTTTTGCTGAAAAGCATGGATGCATGGTCCAGGCTAAATGATGAGAAATATATTCCTAAAATTTGGAGCGTGTCGTTTAGATGCACAACACTTGAAAATATGCTTGCATTAGTTCGTTAAAACGTTACAATTTTGTGTCACTCTGAGATGATGTTCTGATATGCTCAGTTTCCTTTCTCTTTAGGGGGTTCTATGCGCTCGATTGGTTACGAGTTACCCCTTACTCTTGACGCCTCAGCCTCTTCAGACCCGGACGTTCCTGGCGACATTAGTGGCATTACGTTCACTTGGATGTGTCGGAGAAAGGGCGAAGATTTCCCGACGACTGATCCGGATCCGAACAGTGAAGGCGGCTGTTGGAAAAACGGAACTTACGAATTCGGAGGCAACAGCAGACAGGTTGTTGTGAACACCGGTGATTTCTACCAGAAACAATATTACAATTTTAGACTCACGATCTCCACAGATTCGCGCGAGGCTCACTTTGACCAAATGGTTGAAGTTCTCGTCGGGCAACCTCCTACCATGGTGATAGTGTAAGGTTTTATTTTATTTTTCTTGTCTTCTTGTATACTGACGCGTTAATCTTATTTTGTAAGAAGTGCAGTTATCTCTGCAGTCAAAGATTGGTGGGTCAAACCTTAGTTTTCAGGTGAAAAAAAACCCGGTCCGTTTGCTCGAAGAAACAGCAGGAACATTTCTTATTCCTGGCACCGAGGATACAAAAACTTGCAATGAATCAGTTATGTTAACCTATTGATGTAACGTTATTTTAATTCTTTCAAAATCTAGAATCTTTTTAACGTGAAAGATGCTGTCCCTGAGAGGCTTTTCTTTTTGTCCTTGAGGCACTTCGCACATTCGTAGTATATAAAGTTTCTTGCGCAAGTTGTTATGCCCGTTATGTTGGATTCCATAAAATGATAGAAACCTGACCTCAATCAACAGGTAAAACATGTCTCCCTGTAGATCCCTTTGCGTTATTTATCGAAACTTTCAGTACACATGATCGTTGACCCATTGCCACGAACTTTGATTTCAATTGAACAACGATTAATTGTGATGATGACGGATATAGTATTGTTTCTGCGACTATCTTAGTTTTCATTCTTATCTCGTACAAAGCTCTTTTGTACAAGAACTCAACCAAACACCCCAGCTCCTGTCTATGGTGAAGACGGTAGTAAGATATGGTAATCTTGATAATGATGATTAAGCTTTGTGTCAACCCAATATGAAGCAAAAAGCATACGGGTAATAGCATTTTGGTTGTTTGTCATTTAGGAAGGTGTTCAACATAAATCGAAAAACAAATCCGTTAGAACGGCTTAGTGTTGAAGGAAGGTGTATTGATTGCGATTACAACGAAGAATCGCGCTTGGGATACAAATGGAGACTGTCCTTGTTGAGTGAGAACGCCGATGAAGCTCTTGACGACTCTTGGCAGGAGCAAACCGACTGGGAAGATAAAACAACCGCAGGTTTAAACTCAAAGAGTTTGGTGATTGAACCGGGATGCCTGTCAGCAGGACGAAAGTACAGGCTGCAGCTGAATGCGTGGAAACCTGGTGGAGAACCCGGAGGTTATGTGATTGAAGAGCTGATCATGAACGTTGCACCGGTGGGTGGCAAATGTGAAGTACCTGTTATCCGAGGCTTTGCATTGGAAACTTCATTCACCGTTGAATGTGCAGGATGGAAAGATGACGATCAGCCACTCAATTACTTAATAGGTAAAAGTTCTTTTAAACGAAGTCAACACTGCGCAGTAACCCGTTTTTTCCAACAAATCAGCAATCAGCTTAAAAGGGTCTGAGAAAATGGTCACCTAAGGCAAAATTGCTTTGACCTTTAAATAAATTCTTTCCACTAAATCTTTAAGTAACTGTATGGAAATCATTAAAGCCCTTGGGGGTACTCCCTATAATGGCCTATAAGGGGAGGCTTCACCGATAGGGGTACCTTTTCTGTCCAAAATGGAATATCAAAGGGTGAGGGGTTGGATCTCGGGACGAAGTCTCCCCGTATTAAACTTTTTTGAGTACCCACCTGGGAGTTAAAGTGGCTTTGTCATAATGACTGAGTTCCAAAATTCTAGCCTGACTAAAGCTGAGCTGAAATTATTACCAAGTATTCTCGTTCATCTCTTCTGATAACTTATTGGAACTCTAAAAGAAAGATATCAAATGATTCAATCAGAGGGAAAAACAAAGCATGATCGGTTTTGCTCCTTCAACAAATTTTATTGTACCCAAAGCAGAATATTATAGTTATTTACAAGTTGTTAAATTAATCAATTAACTAAAAGTGATACTGACTTCCTGAAAAAACTAATAAGTTAAAAATGCCAAGAAGCCAGATTCAGTAAGATAATTTAAATAAGTTTATTGTCCGGGGTACAATATGGCAGCATATCAGACTGTATACACACAATCACACATACATACACATATACACTAGCACGTATTACTGTAAGAAGAGCGAAAAAGTAGGATGGAAATTACGAAGTACAAGATTACTGCCAATATTTTGGTCAGTTGCGGACTGTACAGGAGTTTAATTTGAAAAAGGTTGGTCCAATTTGTTCAAGTTGCAATCAGTTTCCATCCTGGCCATCGAAAGCCAAAGGCATTCTGTCACAGCTGAGATAAAGTGGTAGAGTAGTTTTGAATAAAACTGCGATGAAAATTAAAAAAGTTCCGTCTCAGCCCCAAAGTGCCAATTCAGCCCTGCAGGCCAAAGCCTGATTCAGCCCCTCCTGGAGCCATTTGAGCACAATTTAAACCAACACGCTATTCCAGCCCAAGCTGGGATTCATTTCAGCCCTTGGGTCCGAATCAGCCCTAGGTAACTGGACTGTATTGGCCCTGATTAAGGGTGCCAAATGAGACTCAAAAATAAGACTGTATTTTACTCACCGAAACGGCCCCATTTTAAACGCTAAAACAGATCTTTCTGATTTACAGTGTGAACCCGTTTTTTTCTTCCTTTGATACTATGTGTTTTAGGGTTTTAAAGTAAAACCAAAATCTTGTTTTGTTGTTTTTAAGAGCTGAAGATTGGGGATGAAAATATCCCCATGGCAGCGGGTGTTGAATCTAAGATGGAGGCAAATTTTCCTCTCGGAAAACCAGAGAATAATTATACAGTTGAAGTCATTGTTAGGGTGATGGATAACTACGAATTGAGTGCAACAGCTGGGACTACTATTGTTCAGGTAAGCGAGAATATTGGAAATATTGGGTGTAGAAATACGTGTATTACAAAACTTAGCGGGGCTCGGGGGAAGGTGGCCAAAAATCTTGGGCGACTCTTCCCGTGGTTCGTTTTTTTAAGCATTTTACTTTTTTTGCCGATTTTCCGGAGTTCTGAGCTGGAACAATTTTACGGGTGAACTTAATTTTTTCCTAGAAAAGCAACATTAGTTGTTTGCACTGCTGCGCATAAACCTTGCACTAACTCGTCTTAAAGAGTTAACCATCTGCCACTTTACAAAACCAGTTTTCTCTTTGTGACGCAGGATGTTTTGCTATGGGATGTCTTCAATCTTTATTTGATATCCCACCAGAAACCTATAAAACTGCGGAAATGAATCCTCGCGAAATAAAATTGAAAGAAGTGAAATCATCACACGATTTGGATTTTAGACATGTCTTGCGAACTTAAAGTATAAACAGGAGAAATGAGGGTTTGACTGATTCCAAAAGTAGACTCCGGACAACATATATTACGTAGTAGATTGTTGTCATGGATAGGCTTTTATAGATCGGCTCGCAAAAGTAGCATGCCACTAACAGTGCTCGCATATTGCGAAAATTTTGACCATAATCATGCTAGATTTTGTAAATTAAATTCATTTCAGCAAAAAATGCAGAAATTATGCCTTTACTTATACTCTAAATTTGGTAAAACACCTAAATAACTATGCAACAAGTAAACGGGAAACCCTATTTACAACTAGCCCCTTTACTTCTGCATAAATTGTTATAAATTCCCTGGCTGTTATCACTGTATGCACTCGCTATTGCGGACGCCATCTTGGTTGTGAAGCCATCTTGGTAACCAACAAGTTATGCGCATGCGTTAAGTCATCTCGAATGAGTCCTTGGTCACTTCCTACCCAGGTCCCATTAATGTGTTAATAAGACGACAAAAAGTGATTTTGTTACTGAAATTTGTCTATAACACTGGTTACGGTCAAAAAAGTCGGTTGCATGATCAATAAATAACAATTTTGTGCATCAAAACTAGTCAAAAGTGAACATAATGCTAGAAGTGCTTTTTTCAGAAGATAGATACAAATTATGCTCGTAATGACGGACTATGCCAAAAATTATGCTAGCACAATCTATCAAAGCCTAGTCATGGGGACAGAAAACCAAAATAGTAACTGAGACATTGAAAACGATATACATTAAAATGCGCTTACATCGACGGCGAAACATCTTAGGTAAACAAATGTACGACAACGCATACAAGTGAATAACTTGAAGTTGTTGGAAAAACACATGCCTTGATTTCTACTGCACATGCCCGGCCGATATGCCCCACAGGAAACCCATGCTGCGTATGGTACAAACTCACATATTTTCTGTAGTAAGGTCGATTGTTTTCAGATTAGAACCATTACTTTTACGTCCTTTCAGGTCTTAGAACCCGATACAATTGATTACGACAAAGTAATGGGGGACATGACGAGCTCATCAGACCAAGAAGGAGGTGATCAGAAAGCCGTGCAACTCGCCACAGCTTGCAGCTCGGTGCTAAATGCTAAGGCGGGTAAAGAAGATGACGATGCTTCGGCCCAGGGGGAGCGAGCTGCTGTGAGTTTTGTGACATCAACTTCAACCGTTATGTGAATTTACAAATAAATTACAAAAATAAATTTAGGACATGCCTGCAGAGAGCAAGTCTAGTCGAGGCAGGCTGGGCTTTTTTTACAATTCTATTCTGCGGTTTGAAGGATATCAGGTCGCGTTCCTTTAAATGATCTTTTAAAGGGTTCAGCTTTTGGTCTTTTCTTAAAGAATTTGAGGTATCCCGGTCCTATTTTTGACCTCCAAAACGTCGTTGTTTGGGCTGGTGGAGTGCTCTCTGGCTTTTTGTAGCCTGCAATCTTGATCTATTATTCTTGGTTTGCAACCACGTGGAAAGGCGGCCATGTTGGAGGTCAATACATAGAATTTTTTTCTCGAAGAATTTACATAAAAATAGAGTTCAGTTCCCATATGACGTCACGTGCAAACCAGCAATAGAGCGTTTTCACTCATCACGTGGCCAGCGGCTATGCAAATTTACTGGAACAGAAGAAATTTTTTACATAACAAAAAGTTTCTACTCCCACTGGATTGGTTTTTGAAAAACCAACATGGCCAACGTTTCATTGTTTTGGGACAATATGGCGGATGTGACGTTATGTGAAAACGCTCTATAGAGTCAAAATTCAGTTAAGTGAACACCTTAAAAAGAGAGCAAGTCGATATTTGAAGGAAGATCATCTACAGATGCAAAGTGCATTTTTAAAGTCAGGGTCATTTATTGAAGGAATCTACCAACATCTGACTTCATTGCAACGAATTAAGAATTAAGGCTTTTGAATCTTTTAATGACGGCATTTACTTTGTGACCTCAGTTCATGTTGTTGTTTCCCTTTCCCTCTGACTCAGGGCCATAGTTTCCCTAGAAAAAAACTCCATCCAACAAATGGTCTTTTGGGGGGCTTCATTACTATGCGTCGCGTTTTGAAAACAACTAAATCTTTTTTCGACTAAGTACATTGATTAATTTTCTCCTCGTGTCACTAAAAAAATGCTCCCTTAGGGATATGAAGATGAAATACGAGGCAAATTTCCTCAGGCAACGTTCATAATAATTTTTTTTGGTGATTGTTGAATGCATGGCATTGAACTTGAAGTTTCAATCCACGTCCATCCTTGGGATCCGTTGCAAAGGACGACAGGAAACAGTTTCAATACCTATATATATTCTAAAATAACAAAACTGGACCATTATTTTTTGGAATTTAATTGATGCAAAGACAAAATTTATCTTGTTAAAAATAGCTTGAATACCCATTTTAACGGAGGCACAGGGGTTGAAAAACTCTTCACTTTTCAGTTTTTTATCGAATTGCATCTTTTTTTTGCTTTCTTTCCGTTTTGCAGTTCCGCGGCCAAGTAGCGGGCGCATTGAGTGAACTCCCTGTTAAAGATTTTGACGGTGTAGCGATGAAAGGAGAAGCTCTTAATTCACTGACCCAAGCAACTGGGGAAATCGACGAGGATGCTCAAGTATATAAGCATATTTCACACACTTATTATTAGTTGGAAAAAAGTCATTTTAAAAGTATATTAAGTGCACTCTTTTTTGTATGGCTGAACCCGTGAACGGGCGGGCAGGATGAGGCGAATCCATCATGCCCGCTCGGGTTTTCCCAATTTTTACCGGAAGAACAGATTATAGTCGGACATATATAGTAAATCCTTTACTGACCAAGCTCGTTCAGTCAAGATGGCTGAATATTGGCTTCAGTTTTTCATTAACCTCGACTTCGTCTCGGTCCATAAAAACGCAAGAAAGAACTTGGCCAATATCCAGCTATCTTGACATCACGTTAGTCAATACTGAGACATATCGTCCTGATGAAGGTAGAAAAAAAATGACTGAACAATGGCTGGGATGAACTACTGGTGTCCGTTTCAGGAATGTGTACGGCTAGTTAGAGAGTTGTCGGGTAGAAAAGAGTTGACTGCCATACGCGCACTGCTCAAAGGTGAAAAAGAGATCCGTTTAACTTATAGGTCTGTGCAGTAAAGTTAAGTCAGGCCTACTGAGCACTTCGATTTAAGTAAACGCGATACCTAATCAGAAGATTAGATTTTCCACATCTATATATATTTTTTTGCTCTTTCCTGTTGCTGGTGCTTACTCGAAATTACCCCCTTTATATAAACTGGTCATCAACTGCTTGCCTTCTGACCTAGCATAACGCGTTGCTTTTACTATAATTTTTTTAACAGAACGCGTCAGTAAAGGCCTTGGACGAAATGGGAGACTTCTTATCAGGAAGCGACAGTGCGCGTGACGTGGAAAATGTTGCAAAGAGCCTGGGTTCTGCTATAGGGAATGTAGTTGGAGCCTCTATTGAATCATATCAAAAAGCTGCTAATGGAACTTCTGCAGGCGACCCGGTAAGATAAGACCCGGTTCCATAAGATTTCTTTTCGTTAGAATTTAAAAATAAATAAATAATAAATAAATAACCTCGTATAACAATCTGATTAAAAAAGAAAACTATAGTGGCGGGTTTATGGGAAGGGGCCGGGAGAACGTCCTTCAATTTTATACCTAACCAAGGCCCTTAGGGCTGAGGAACATGGTTTTTTTTCTCTATAGCGACCCCCACCCCCCTCCCGCCCCCTTTCCACCCATCTCTAGGTAGTTTGTTGATCATTGGTACGGTGAATTTTCCTGTACAGAGCAAGAGTCAAAACAACACCAAAAACGCCCTTGGTGTTATTGACAAAGTCAGCGGTGCTCTTCTAAAGCAGCTAGAGGCAGGAGGCAAACCCAAGGCCATCTCCTCTCCGAATCTGGACATGTCTGTTGGTAGAAAGACCTTGGATAGTATAGGAGGAGCGGATGATGACGAGGATGCAGAAGAGGGGGAAGGAATGGGCGGGGTCAGGCTCCCCAATCCTTTGGGACTGTTTGGACCAGCTAACGCGTCTGTTGAGGAGGGAGCTACGAGCGCTATTGGTACAACGGTGAGTGATGAAATAATGTTCGTCTGACGTCAGTTAGATGTAAGTTGCGCTGTAATATTGCTCGTGATTTAGAAGCTTTTCTCGTGTTCTCCCAACATCCAGCGTGGGTTATCACGCCGATAAACCCATGGAAAAAGTAGTCTATTGCTTAAATAACCAAGCTCTTTAATCTTCTCTCTAAAGTCGACTCGACATCTTACCATAAAGTGGTATTATTAAGACAGGAGGTTGGGTGATACTAAACAGAAAAATTTCCAGGAACTAAATTTTGCAATAATGTGACTCATCATTTGGCGCTTGCGGTTTGTTTTTTAAACGTCGGGTGTCTTTTTTTCCTTAAGCCCGGTTCAGACGCCGAACTAATCATGAGCCGAACCTAATACATTGAATTAAGTACATGGAAAGTTCGGCGTCTGAATCAGTTAGGAACGCCTGTTTCAATTTGTAACGGCTTAGCCGTTCTTTTCGCCTAGCCCGGCCGGGAATTTCGCCTTTGGAGCTACTTTGGAACGGCTTTGATTTTTTCATGTACCGAACCTAATGCATAAATTATTATAACGTATTTTGTAAGCTGTTTGACCGAAATGAGCATTTTTCGCCTTTTGAAATTGGTTCAGCTGCAATTAAGATCGGCGTCTGAATCAATTCAGCCGGTCTAAATAATTTGGGTCGGCCTTATTTCAAATTAGGTTCTGCTCTTGAAAAGTTCGGCGTCTGAACCGGGTCTTAGAAAGGTAGTTTTTGCCTTATGCTTCCCTTCGTTTTTTTTTTAATCAAAAAAAAGAAGAAAAAAAGAGGAAAAAATAGTGTCATCGCGACAGTTTTTTTGTTAATACAGACTACCCAGATGAATACCCAGATGCTGCAGTACAAACTATCCATTTTCGTTTACTTTTTTCAGCTTTCTGCCATGGACAAGAACCCATTTGCGTGGGATAACAGCTCAAGTGATCTTAACTCCAAAACTGTTGGCTTGTCACTCACCGATGGAAACGGAAAACCGTTAGACCTAGCTGGACAGGAACTAGAAATGTTTGTACCGCGAAATCTGAAGATAAACCCAGTGAAACCTATGGAGTTAAACCACTTTGAAGACGGCGATCCGCCCATGCGAGTACACAAATTTAATCGGTCAAGCCTCGACGCGGGGATAGCCGTAGAGATAAAGACTTTCCATCCGGGTATTCGGTTCATGGTGGCGGTGAGGTATGACAAGAAACCGACCGCCAATCATTATGATTACGCGCATACGTTTCCAACTCTGGAGGAGTCCAAGAAAATGAAGAAGAGACCACATCCATTCACCTACGTGATTCCTCATACACTGATCAACACGCTTTTGTTTGGAAACAAAAATGAAAGCGACAATGATACGAAAGCCGATGCGTCACAAAATATCACCATCAAACAGTTTTATCTGGGTGTGAAAGCTGTAAACAAGGATTCATTAGGCGACGTTAACACGAGTTACGCATTGCGTATCTACCTGCCTGCTTGCAAAATGTTTGACGAGGAAACTAACACTTGGACATCGAAAGGCTGTAAGGTAGGTTTAAATTATCGTGTTTAATTTAGTACATTTTTAAAAACGATATTTTAATTGTTTTTGATGTGGATACGTGTACAGTAAATCCTCTATTAAGCCCCCTATTTGAGGGGGGCTTAATAGAAACGGGTGGCTTATTTGGGAGGAGGGGGGGCTTATTTAATTTTAGAAAAAACAATGGTATCAGTTGTCCACAAAGAACAAGAACACAAAGGGGAGAAGCTCAAGAACAAAATGGTTGGAGTTCATGCAGCCGAGGATCAGAATCAAATCCAAATTTCCAGTTGGTAAATAAACCATCCTGGATCAGTCTACGCGAAGTTTTAGAGGGGAGGCGGGGGGGCTTATTAACTTTCTCCCCCTGAAAAAGGGGGGGCTTAGTAGAGGATTTACTGTATTTACCTTTATGACTCTAACGTTTGGATGAAATTTCGAGTAATCTTGCGCATTCACGGTCAACGGAACACCTAAACGCACGAATTTTCTACCGGTCGAAAATTCGTCCGTCGCCGTCTGAACATAGCCTGAGACAAACTTCGACCATGTAAGCCTTGCGACCTGCATGCGTCTTTACTGTTTATCTTTCCTTTTAACAGGTTGGCCCTAAAACCATCGTTAACAGCACACACTGCTTGTGTAAACCAGGCGAGGAAGAAGAAGTGGAGGAGGAAGTGGATGATGAAGAAGCTACCACAGTAACACCAGCAACAACTGCTGCCGCAGCTCCTGCAAGCGGTCAAGACCAAACACCCGCTAAGAAGGTCATCAAACGAAGGCGGTTTAAGAGAAGTGTCAACAAAATTTCCATTGCAAGTAAGTGTAAACGTCATAAATAACCAGGAGTTGGAAAGTTTACAAAACTGCTGGCTTAATTCAAATCCTCTTGGGAATTAGCAACTGTTATTTTAAAAATTTGTTGAAACATCCGTAACCGTTTAAGTAAAGTCTCTAAATCAATTTTACCGTGTTCGACTAGAGGTATTCTAAGTCAGGCAAATTAGCCCGCTTGTCTAAACCCAAAACAGTTTTCTCGCTGGCTTTTGATTTGGGCTGGACAATACCTTATGTGAGAGACCTCTCAGATGATCGTAACAAAGTGCGCACGTCAATCCTCAATTTTTAACCCATTTCTCGGTGATTGTATACCCTAAAGAAACTCTGCCAGTATTAATTTGCTCCGAAGCATTGACTGTATTATACTATTGCTTGTTGCTTTTCTTTTTAACGTTGACATGATGTCTCTGTACTAACTTTCAGAACTGACACTCAACAAAAACACTGAAAACTTCATCAAATTAACCATTTTGCAGGTAGCATGTTCGTGGCACCCAATCCGATTGATTTTAACAAAGTGTTTAACGCCAATCTGGCGGAGAACCCTGTCGCTCTTGCTGCTGTATTGGGGATATTTGGAGTATATTTGATTCTGGCTGTTTATGCTCGTAGAGAGGACAAGAATGAGGCAGGAGGCAAACCCAAGGCCATCTCCTCTCCGAATCTGGACATGTCTGTTGGTAGAAAGACCTTGGATAGTATAGGAGGAGCGGATGATGACGAGGATGCAGAAGAGGGGGAAGGAATGGGCGGGGTCAGGCTCCCCAATCCTTTGGGACTGTTTGGACCAGCTAACGCGTCTGTTGAGGAGGGAGCTACGAGCGCTATTGGTACAACGGTGAGTGATGAAATAATGTTCGTCTGACGTCAGTTAGATGTAAGTTGCGCTGTAATATTGCTCGTGATTTAGAAGCTTTTCTCGTGTTCTCCCAACATCCAGCGTGGGTTATCACGCCGATAAACCCATGGAAAAAGTAGTCTATTGCTTAAATAACCAAGCTCTTTAATCTTCTCTCTAAAGTCGACTCGACATCTTACCATAAAGTGGTATTATTAAGACAGGAGGTTGGGTGATACTAAACAGAAAAATTTCCAGGAACTAAATTTTGCAATAATGTGACTCATCATTTGGCGCTTGCGGTTTGTTTTTTAAACGTCGGGTGTCTTTTTTTCCTTAAGCCCGGTTCAGACGCCGAACTAATCATGAGCCGAACCTAATACATTGAATTAAGTACATGGAAAGTTCGGCGTCTGAATCAGTTAGGAACGCCTGTTTCAATTTGTAACGGCTTAGCCGTTCTTTTCGCCTAGCCCGGCCGGGAATTTCGCCTTTGGAGCTACTTTGGAACGGCTTTGATTTTTTCATGTACCGAACCTAATGCATAAATTATTATAACGTATTTTGTAAGCTGTTTGACCGAAATGAGCATTTTTCGCCTTTTGAAATTGGTTCAGCTGCAATTAAGATCGGCGTCTGAATCAATTCAGCCGGTCTAAATAATTTGGGTCGGCCTTATTTCAAATTAGGTTCTGCTCTTGAAAAGTTCGGCGTCTGAACCGGGTCTTAGAAAGGTAGTTTTTGCCTTATGCTTCCCTTCGTTTTTTTTTTAATCAAAAAAAAGAAGAAAAAAAGAGGAAAAAATAGTGTCATCGCGACAGTTTTTTTGTTAATACAGACTACCCAGATGAATACCCAGATGCTGCAGTACAAACTATCCATTTTCGTTTACTTTTTTCAGCTTTCTGCCATGGACAAGAACCCATTTGCGTGGGATAACAGCTCAAGTGATCTTAACTCCAAAACTGTTGGCTTGTCACTCACCGATGGAAACGGAAAACCGTTAGACCTAGCTGGACAGGAACTAGAAATGTTTGTACCGCGAAATCTGAAGATAAACCCAGTGAAACCTATGGAGTTAAACCACTTTGAAGACGGCGATCCGCCCATGCGAGTACACAAATTTAATCGGTCAAGCCTCGACGCGGGGATAGCCGTAGAGATAAAGACTTTCCATCCGGGTATTCGGTTCATGGTGGCGGTGAGGTATGACAAGAAACCGACCGCCAATCATTATGATTACGCGCATACGTTTCCAACTCTGGAGGAGTCCAAGAAAATGAAGAAGAGACCACATCCATTCACCTACGTGATTCCTCATACACTGATCAACACGCTTTTGTTTGGAAACAAAAATGAAAGCGACAATGATACGAAAGCCGATGCGTCACAAAATATCACCATCAAACAGTTTTATCTGGGTGTGAAAGCTGTAAACAAGGATTCATTAGGCGACGTTAACACGAGTTACGCATTGCGTATCTACCTGCCTGCTTGCAAAATGTTTGACGAGGAAACTAACACTTGGACATCGAAAGGCTGTAAGGTAGGTTTAAATTATCGTGTTTAATTTAGTACATTTTTAAAAACGATATTTTAATTGTTTTTGATGTGGATACGTGTACAGTAAATCCTCTATTAAGCCCCCTATTTGAGGGGGGCTTAATAGAAACGGGTGGCTTATTTGGGAGGAGGGGGGGCTTATTTAATTTTAGAAAAAACAATGGTATCAGTTGTCCACAAAGAACAAGAACACAAAGGGGAGAAGCTCAAGAACAAAATGGTTGGAGTTCATGCAGCCGAGGATCAGAATCAAATCCAAATTTCCAGTTGGTAAATAAACCATCCTGGATCAGTCTACGCGAAGTTTTAGAGGGGAGGCGGGGGGGCTTATTAACTTTCTCCCCCTGAAAAAGGGGGGGCTTAGTAGAGGATTTACTGTATTTACCTTTATGACTCTAACGTTTGGATGAAATTTCGAGTAATCTTGCGCATTCACGGTCAACGGAACACCTAAACGCACGAATTTTCTACCGGTCGAAAATTCGTCCGTCGCCGTCTGAACATAGCCTGAGACAAACTTCGACCATGTAAGCCTTGCGACCTGCATGCGTCTTTACTGTTTATCTTTCCTTTTAACAGGTTGGCCCTAAAACCATCGTTAACAGCACACACTGCTTGTGTAAACCAGGCGAGGAAGAAGAAGTGGAGGAGGAAGTGGATGATGAAGAAGCTACCACAGTAACACCAGCAACAACTGCTGCCGCAGCTCCTGCAAGCGGTCAAGACCAAACACCCGCTAAGAAGGTCATCAAACGAAGGCGGTTTAAGAGAAGTGTCAACAAAATTTCCATTGCAAGTAAGTGTAAACGTAATAAATAACCAGTAGTTGGAAAGTTTACAAAACTGTTGGCTTAATTCAAATCCTCTTGGGAATAAGCAACTGTTATTTTAAAAATTTGTTGAAACATCCGTAACCGTTTAAGGAAAGTCTCTAAATCAATTTTACCGTTGTCGAAAAGTGTTCAACTAGAGGTATTCTAAGTCAGCTAATTAGCCCGCTCGTCTAAACCCAAAACAGTTTTCTCGCTGGCTTTTGATTTGGGCTGGACAATACCTTATGTGAGAGACTTCTCAGATGATCGTAACAAAGTGCGCACGTCAATCCTCAATTTTTAACCCATTTCTCGGTGATTGTATACCCTAAAGAAACTCTGCCAGTATTAATTTGCTCCGAAGCATTGACTGTATTATACTATTGCTTGTTGCTTTTCTTTTTAACGTTGACATGATGTCTCTGTACTAACTTTCAGAACTGACACTCAACAAAAACACTGAAAACTTCATCAAATTAACCATTTTGCAGGTAGCATGTTCGTGGCACCCAATCCGATTGATTTTAACAAAGTGTTTAACGCCAATCTGGCGGAGAACCCTGTCGCTCTTGCTGCTGTATTGGGGATATTTGGAGTATATTTGATTCTGGCTGTTTATGCTCGTAGAGAGGACAAGAAAGACATTGGAAAGGTATTGAGGCGTTTGCTTAAGGGTTGTTTGAATTCGTGTTGTACGGATTATTACTCCAGTTGGTAGCCCTAGAAAACAGTCAACATAAATTCGTGATGCCAAACACTGGTTTCCTCGCTAAATTTTGTCGGAGGAACGCACGCAGAAACTCCGTACTGACGTATCCCTCACTACCCAGATCTAGATAGTGCTTCTGATTGGTCGTGCCGTGAGGGAAACTTGTTTTAACCAATAGGAAGCACTTACCAGATCTGGGTAGAGCCAGGTCATTAGTACGGGGTTTCGAAAGCGGAGAAAACCAGTGGTAGCTTTGCAAAATGTCAGCTGTTTGTTCAGGCAGGCTATCCAGTTGGGGAATGCTTAGCCCAAAGGTGCTATTATCACATTTATAAAACAAGACTTTGTACCGTTTCTTATTTACCTAAGAAAAAGGTTCAGCAAAGAACAAAGGAAAGCCACTAATAACATTCTTGGTTCAGTAAACTTATCTCAAAACAGCTGAGCACATGAGATACTGGCTTCAGAAGTTTTTTTACTCGAACAAACTTGACAAGGCCGAGTGTTGCCATGGCACCTATCTCTTGCCAAGCAAGGCGTAAGACTTGCTTCATCTAGCTCGGCCCCAAAGCCAGCCACAAATCAACTACTAAATTTGCTCATCGTCTAAATGTCCAATATTCATTTTGTGTTGAAGGTTGGAGTGACTCCTCTCGAAGACAACGAGCCATTTGATCGACAGCACTATGAAATTACAGTGTATACGGGTTACGGTAAGAGGGCAGCCACTACAGCTGAGGTGAGCTTTATTCTGTCGGGTGACGAAGGAGAAAGCGAGCCTCGTCTTCTGAAGGATCCAAAGCGAAAGATGTTTCAACGGCGCGGTGTTGACGTGTTTCTGGCAACGTTTCCTGAAAGCCTCGGGGAGCTTAACTATTTACACATATGGCACAATAATGCAGGCAAGTTTTTTAATCTTTGTGTTTACTCTTAAAACTTGTTACTCTGTACGTAAAGGCAACTACTACTGGTGTTACCTCTTAAAAATAAAACGTCGAGAAACTCGTGCATATTATGGATAGATGGTACGCCTCTAGCAGCCTTCAGTCTTAGGCAATAGACTGGTTAGGGATTTTAAACTTTCCCTTTATTTCTTGGAAACATCTAGGCTGTTACAAACCCTTAGATCGTGGAGTAGTAGTTGCTGTTAGGAAAATGCACGATTGCTGATGTTGACTTCTGCTTCATGCAATCTTACGACAAATTTTATCTACACCTTTTGTAGAGGAACACTAAAACATCCTGTTATTTTCAGTTTACTGAGCCCTATCCTGATACGTCTTAACTTCTTCTTGACAGGTCGATCCCCGTCTTGGTATGTCAGTCGGGTAGTCGTGCACGACCTGAACAGTGACAAGAAATACCTGTTTATCTGCGAGGGATGGCTAGCAGTGGAAGAGGGTGATGGTACAGTAGACAGACTAATTCCAGTCGCCGGCCATGAGGAGATGACAAGCTTCAACCACTTGTTTTACTCCACCACACAGAAGAATTTAGCAGACGGCCACCTGTGGTTCTCAGTGTTCATTCGCCCGGCCAGAAGTCGTTTCACGCGACTCCAGCGCATAAGCTGTTGCTTAACACTGCTGTACTGTTCCATGATCACAAACGCCATGTTTTATCAGGTGGGAGGGGAGAGTGATCCAGCTACCACGCTACATATAGGACCTTTAGCGTTTAGCCCTGCACAGATTGGAATCGGCATCATGAGTAGTCTAATCATCATTCCTGTGAATATTTTAATCGTGGGGATATTCAGAAACGTTGAGGCCAAACCAACAAAAGAGGAACTGAAAGAAAGGCGCAAAAATAGAACTTGTTGGTGGTTCCAAGAGTTATTTTTCTGCCTGTTCGACTTCAACAAGAGTAACAAGAACGATTTTATTGAGATTTTGCACACGGGTTCGAAACAAGAACAATTCCTAGACTTTGCCTCCTCCAGTACAAACTTGGCACAAAACGATCAGATTGGGATGGGTTCTGGCGTAGAATCCGAAGACATCAGCTTCCGAATTTCCAAGCAAGAGCGAAAGGAAGAAGCAGAAAAGAAGAAGAAGAAAAAGAAAAAGAAGAAGTTGCTTCCTTACTGGTTCCTTTACATCGCCTGGGTGATTTGTTTTTTGACTTGTTTTACCACGGCTTTTTTCTGCGTGCTCTACGGATTGCAGTTTGGTAAAGAAAAGTCTGCTCAGTGGATCTCTTCCATGTTAATATCGTTCTTTCAAGACGTACTGATCAGTCAGCCCATTAAAATCCTTGGAATCGCTCTCATCATCGCTGTTATTATCAAGAAACCAGCAGAAGAAGAGGAGGAGGAGGGCAGTGACAAGAAAAAACTGGAAGACGAAGATTGGTTGCATGATAGCCCCAGAGGTCAGGGAGTGATGTACTAATGAGCGGATAAAACGAACCCATTCTGTAGTTCATATATTTAACATTGGAGGCGGGAAAATCTAAATTATAAAATCCTTTAGCATAATACGAAATATATAGTTACGGTATAGAAACGCAAAGCAAATTGTACGTAATTTGGCCCTGTAAATTGGTTTTAAATTACCAATGGATCTACTACCTCGGCCATTAATCGTTGGAACACTTGACACCTCACTACCCTGTACCCCGCCCCCATCACAAAGGTGGGAAAAACCGAGAGTTTTGCCAGTGAATGTTCAAACACCAACCATTGTCAACTTTGTGAAGGGGCAACAAGGAGAGTCCCATGAAGTATTTCAACTATTTCGACCAGGGTTGTAGATGCTTGAATCTAGATGACAAAGAAAAACTAGATAAAGTTGTAAAAACAACTCATCTTGATAGCGGAGTATATGTCTTTTTCAGAGACGACAGACAGAAGAGTGAAACCGAAGACTCTTATTCGTCTTCAACCACCTGACAAAGACAAGCTGGAGCAGGCTAGACAAATCAGGTATGGTTTTTAATTGCCAGTGTCTTCTAATCTTATTCTTTTGTGCATATTTGTAATTGTCTGGGAGCTTTGCTAGCCTTCTAATGAGAATTTTTTAGACCATTTCCTCTCAAAAGGTGTTGAATTCGAAAGAACCGTGCCTTGTTTCAAACGTTTCTTGCAAGGTAACGATTACTCAGTTTTGCTGTGATAAAGATTTGCTTAAGAAAGCTGCAGTAGAAGGTCATCCTTGAAACGTACATCACTCTCAATAAATCGTTGAAGAGTTGATCTTTACATGGAAGGAGCAAATCACTTGATACTATTCTCAACCACCTCAAACAAGAGACCACGCTGTCTAGCATGCCGTGAGCACAATGCTATAAATAAGAGACCAAGAGATCAACCAATCATAGACTATCTGACAAAGGCTCTTTTTCAATCATTTTCAAGGTTCAAAGAAATGAAGATGAACGCAATTATCAAGGAAGTTGCTCTCTACGTGTTTTTCGTGGCCTGTTTGTGCATCGTCAGTTATTCTCATCGAGATCCAAAATCATTCGCTTTTAGAAAAACAATGTATGACACGTTCGTGGACGGAGTGTATGGAGGAAAGAAAACATTTTCAGCGGTAAGTTTTTCTCTCAATGTGAACGAATTACTAATTACTTCCCTCGCTTAACCAATTTATTCGCACACGAGGCTAGTACCCAGGGTTCTAGTGGATTTAGTAAGACATTTTTTGACAGAGCATGGAAAAGATTTCAGATGTGCCAATTAAAGTTTTAAGAACGGTATTCTAATTTTCGTGGACGAACAAACTTAATCTCCGCACCAGTTACTTCTTTTATGCTCACATTTTCAATTTGTTGTTGTCGGCAAATCAATAACATCAAAGGAAAGGAAACCTCAAAAACACTATCTTTATTGTGAAAGGTTTGAACCCAGGAGTCATTTCAAAAGTAGGTTGAGTTTGATTGTCCGGGAAAACGTAGTCCTGAATAGGACTGTTGTTGTTGACAGTGACTGACGTTTCGACAACCTCTGCGGTAGTCATCTTCAGAGTCAAAGTGAGTTGTATCACGTCAGTTGATGGTATTATACTCTGGTTATTGATCTGATTGGTCAATTATCTTTATTGATAAGCACTTAGGATCATTTAAGTAGTAGTTGATCTCATAAAATAGTAAGCTCGTAAGTGAACCAATAGCGGCTGGCACCGTTGTTCTTTCATCCGCGAAATTGCCATAAACATTACCACTTGTATTTCTTCCCCGTAGATCGGGAGTCGTGAGAACTTTTATACTTACGCCAAGACCACGCTGATGAACGCGCTCTACACCACATCCTGGTACAATGGGAATGCCACTGATGCCGGATTCACACCAGAAATGATGGCCTACATTATTGGAATGGCGAGACTAAGACAACTCCGAGTTCAAAACCGTGAGTAATCTCCAAAGATCTTTGTTAGCCAAGATTGCACCTGTTAAGACAATACTCTCAAAATCAAAATGTTTAATTTTTCTAATATTTTAAAATGATAATAATAAAAACAAATAGCAGTTTTCGAAAATTCTAGCGAAGACGATTTATCGGAATGATCACACCGTACGTTAACTGACTTTAAAGCTGGAGGTATACACGACAAGCACAGATGGGCCTAGCTGGTCTGCAAGGTTGGAGCAACTCTTTCTCTTCCTTTCATACCTTTCACCATTCAGCCGAAAGGACGGAATATCATTTTCAGTTTTATTTGAATTTGCACATTACATACATCTTGCGTGCGCCTCGATGATTTCTGTCCATGGTATTGCGAACTACTGTGGCGGTAAAGTTTTTTCAAAAATCCGGCTTACAACGGTTTTTCTCACACTGAAGAAGGGTCATAAACCCGAAGCGTTTGTGTTTTTTAAAAAATATTTGACGCTTTAGTTGTTGATATTTCTTTACCGAATATCACCTCATCAGCCCTGATCCCAGTCTATCTCAGCCTGCGAACAGAGCCCCCTTTTGTCTTCTTCTCTGAGGAGTTGAAATCGAGGCTCTTCGTGAATCGCGTCAAGCCTTTGAAATCGACGAAGCCCAACTTCTGCACTAGACATTCTTGTTTTCTGTTGTCAAATTGAACTTATTTTTCGTGTGCTGGAATCCGTTTATTGATAAACCGTTTGCTTGTTTTTTTTTTATTTCACAAAACTCTTTGTGATTCTAATTATGGTTTTGCTCACCGTTGGAAAGAAAGGTTCAAAACATGCAGGGACTATAAAATTACTTTTCTGTCGTAGCCTCTAAACGTCTGTAAAACGTTTCACTATGATTTTATAAACAGAGAGCTGTGAGGTGGCACCGGATTTCAGGTCTTATCTAGGCGAGTGCAATACCTGGTACGGGTTCATGTCCGAAGATAAGGGTCAGTATGATGTTGGCTGGCAGCCACTCAAGAACGAATCACTTTATAATCCTCCTTTCACCTACGAAGCCTGGGAATTCAACACATCAGATGAACTGGACACTATACCTATGATGGGTAAGTTAACTTTATTCAAGTTTTGGTCTCTTGTTGCTCTCGACCTGGTCTCTTTCGTGTTTTAACCTTGTATGTTTCGGGCATTCTCCAATAAAGAGAGCCGAAGGATAGGCTAAGGAGAGTATTGTGAGATTAAGCGAGTGAAACTTGCACTTCCCCTTTACCTGATAGTACGTAAAATGACCTTCGACTGAAGCAAACTACAAACTACCACGCTTTTACCGACTCTAACTAAAATTTTTAGGAGTTCACTAAAGTAAGAGTGGTCCAGTTTCGAGTTCGTCTTGACTGCTGCATCAAATCAGTGAAGACACCTTTTGACAGGGTTAGCCCCCATTTAAAGCGATTATGCTCCGCATAAATTCAAGCTAGAAGATCGTTTACAACTTGTCTATTATTTATTTTCAAATTTTCACATACACTTTCCTGCCGGTATTTCCCACTTCAGAAACTCAAGAAAGAATGGTTACAAGCTTTGGGTGCAGTAATTTCTGGGGACCTTGAGGTGAATAAGCGTCAGTTGGTGATTGGCCAGTGGTATTCAAGGCAAAGATTCACAAATTATAAATTACGTTTTTCCACCCAAACGATGCGAGAAACTCTTTGCGCCAAAAACTTGTACTCATTCCCCCTATAGGTTCGACCCAGGAGTGGGAAATTTGGGAATGTGGGGATGTTTGACTGTCGGTCGTTTCATGATATGTCACTGGTGTTAATTTTAATTCGGAAAAAGACATTTAATTATATACCTATGTAGTAATTATTTAATTTCTAATTTTTAGGATACGTGTCGACTTACGGCGGTGGAGGATTTGTGGCAGATTTAGGGCACTCGAAAGACAATGCAACAAAAATTATTGAAACACTTGAAAGAAACAAATGGATTGACACTCAAACCCGTGCAGTCATCACAGAGGTAACCACTTACAATCCAGTGGCAAACCTGTTTTGTGCTTTGACTCTGGTGGTAGAATTTCTTCCAACAAACGGGATTTTTCTCTTCACCGACCTGAAGATAGCGCGCCTTTTTACTTTCGGCGGAAGTTTCGAATCATTTCTCATAGCGTGCGAGTTCTTTATCTTGCTCTTCTTTGCCGTGTTCATCTACCAGGAACTAAAGCAGCTTTACAGACTACGCAAGGGCTACTTTAAAGAGTTCTGGAACTACGTGGAGTTCGCCATGATCATTTTGGTATTCACTTGTGTGGGAATGTTTTTCACGCGCACGATGCTTGTCAGCAAGGCGATTGCCAGCTTGGAAGCCAACCATGGCAAATACGTCAGTTTTAGCCGAGTAACGTCCTGGAATGAAATCTTCATGTACATGGTTGCCCTGGTGGTCTTCACGGCGTGGATCAAAGCAATAAAGCTTCTTCGCTTCAATCGTCGCATAACCATCCTCGCACAAACTCTGAGAGGTTCCGCGGGACCTTTGGCTGCTTTCTCAGTGGTATTTTTGGTGTTTTTCTTCTCCTATTCCCTGTTCGCTTTTGCCGTGTTTGGCCAAGATTTGACTGAATTCTATAACTTTGTCTCGACGTGCGAGACCGTCATGGGAATTCTTCTTGGGTCTTTCGATTACACGGCCCTCGAAGAGGCGGCTCCGGTTCTGGGTCCCTTATTCTTCTTCTCATTTATGGTCTTTGGCACTTTCATTTTGATGAATATGTTCCTAACCATCGTACTAGACGTGTTCTCTGAAGTGAAAGAGTCCATCGATGGACAGGAAAATGAGTACGAAATTGTAGACTTTATGATCAAGCGCTTCAGGAAGTTTACTGGAATGCAGCCGAACAAGATCTCCGCCACTGAAGAGACGCCCGAGAAAAAGAACCTGGAGGGGGAGGACATAACGAAAGATTTGATGGCCTTAAAAAACAAGCGTCATAAATCTAAAACGAAACGAAAGTTCCAAGCGATGGATCTGGTGGCTCAGCGCTTCACCAGACTGGAGTCATCCTTAAGCGGCGTTTACTGCGAGGAGTGGGCTGAAGAAAGGCTACTTGATCATATCGTGGAGCGGCGATGGGGGATAAACACAGAAGCTGCCTATGCCGTGGCAGACGCCGAATTCAAGGAAGAGCAGCATATGGAACAGCTGCGTCTTGATATGTACGCGGCGGCCGAGAGGTACGATCCTGACGATGACAGAGGTACGGTCAATCTCAGTTTTGAGGAGAGTCCTTTTATGAAGGACAGGTACGATCCATGGAATTCTACAGATGCCTGAGGATTTTGAAGCTTTTTCACGAAAATGTAACATTGATCATAAAGTGCCAATAAGCTTAACTGATATGTTAAGAGGGTAGATGCGACCATTATTTAAAACGTTAACACACACTTTGTTCAGTTTTTTAAGCATGAGTAAATTAGCAGTAACTAGAGTGTACATATCCTTAGGACGGTATAGTTGACTCAATTCCTTGGTTAGCACTGAAGCTTAACGGTGGTTCGAAGAGCGACTTGATTCAGTAAGGCCAACCCAGTGGTAGTTCAATAGTCTGTTTCAGACGGACTGTTATGTTGGGTTAACACATCTGCATTTATGTGGTGTTACTCTAGGTTAAAGTTAAGCACCCTTGTGGAGCGACTTCCCGAGGAACTCGTATAGGATGTGAACGAACGTATGCCATTGAATAGGATTGTTCAATTATTAGTGAATTGGCTTAATTTTGAGATCTCCTAGATCATCTAAACACTAGATAGGAATGCTGTCTAATCTCAGCGTACATGATCTTTTACTGCATTTTCACTACCAGAAAAGGCTCGCAATCTATCCACTTTCCTGAGAAGGGTTTTTGTTTTTGCTGGGACAGGTGTATCACAGGGTTCGCACGTACCTTGAAAGTCCTTGAATTTCAATGCTAATTTTCTAGTTTAAGTAGAACTCCAAAGGAAAAGGAGCAAACACTGAAAGACTTTCGGGATAAAATTACTCATGTTGTGGAAGGACTAAAGAATACATGGACTCCAGGCTCTTTTTTGCACTGAATGGAGTCCTTGAAAAATGGGAAATGTGTGCTTGAAAGTCCTTGGAAAGTCCTTGAATTTTTTGTTCAAAAAAGGGTACGAGCCCTGGTTTCTAGATTTTTGATTGTTGAGAACAGGATGCTTGCAATTTTGAAGAATCTAAATTATAGAGTCCTCAGTGATTTTTTTCCTCTGAGAACTGAACTTCCGTTAATAATTGCCTAAGTAATGTCTTAAAGAAATTCTTACGTCGAGTAATAAAACAGTTATTTCACACTTACTCAAATTCAACTACATCCTACAATTTCTAATTTGATAAACATCGTCCGAGTCAGGCTGTATCAGAATCGGGCAGTCTGACAACCATTTAAAAGGCAGCGTTTATCGGGTCCAAAATCGATAATTTTAACTCTGACTTAGCTCGTTTTACTGACGATGGCAAGCCGAACTTAGATAAAGGGCCGAGGTGTTCAAAGAGCGATTAGCAAATCCAGTTTTTAGTCACCATGACAACTAATATGCTTTGTTTACAGATAAACCAAGATTAACCTCCCCCCACCCCTTTTTCAGGGGGTACTCTTAGGAATTCTTGGTGGGAGTGCGCCGCTCAGTTCTTCAAAACCATCCTATTTCAGACGACAAACATATGGTTTTCCACACCCATTATCCAACCTGACTTCTGAAAGTAGTACTCATTACCTTGACCAAGTGAGGTCAACATACTGTTGAACCTTTTTTTATTATTTTATGGTATTTTTATTGAACGTTCTTACTCGTTTGGAGTTGAAAAGATACGTTTATACGCCCTCGTTCTTTCCTCGAAAACAATACGCGATTTAAGAACATACTGAGCGTAAAATACACCTTATTTCTGACCAAAACAGTTCAGGGAAACCACACCGTTTGGGGCGATACATGCCTGTGTAGATCATGTAGGACAGTACCAACCCGTCGGATTAAAGCTAATCGGGCTTCGAAAATCTTTGCCCAGATACACCACTGTATATTTAACTTCATGATTTAGCGATGCATGCCATGAATCTTTAAAATTTAACTATTTGGTTTGGTTCAAACGTGAGTACCATATGTCGGACAATATGCTAATAAAGCAATGCTGTATTCAAGGAAGGGAAAAGAGGATTTTTTTTTTACTACAAGATCCTAAAGTTCTAATTTGTTATGTTGCACCTTGTGAACAAAGTCGCTAATTCTACGGGAACTACATTTCTTGGTATTTTTCCTCATTTGGCGCTGCGAAATATTGTACCGCGCGGGTAGGTAAACAACCTCTTAGTGAAATGATTAGTTATCGAAATACAGTCGACCATCCATGTGCGACCACCTCCCATAAGCGAACCCCTATCCAAAACATCAAAATTTTCCCAGTCCGGGAAAATTGTAGCCATGCGTGATAAGATGTTGAATGTAAGAACAATACAAATTATAGTTTAGTTATGTGTTTAGGCTTGTTCCACACGGTGCCCTTGTTTTTGAAAAACGCAACGTGAAAATGCAACTGCTTTGTTTGTGGTGGAGGTGTATTGTTCCGGAGCGAAAAGTGAGGTTGTTTTGGGGTCTGAATTAACCCTTTAAGCCCTAAGAGTGATCAGCATCAAATTTCTCCTTGTAATATCAATGCTTTGCAAAACTGAGTGGTCATGAGAATTACGGACATGATCACACAAGATGAATTTGCTTGATATTTTATCAACTTTCCCAGTCCGGCAAAATTGTAGCCATGCGTGATAAGATGTTGAATGTAAGAACAATACAAATAGACCTTGTCACGGTTTTCGACGCCATCTTGACGAGTAGGCAAACGCGTGCGAAATTACAGTGTTTGTATGAGAATCTAATGTCGAATAATTTCCGTAGAACGGCTGTTCTGAAAAAAATATGATTTGTAAACTAAAGCTTCACTCCTAAGGATTCTCCTGAAAAAATTTGAGGGCGTTACATGCACTAGAAGACCTAGAACCACTTTTTAAAATTGTCCAATACATTTGTCTTTAAGAAAGTCCCGGAAAAATTACAGACAAATATATGGAAAATCTAAGGTAAGCCTCTGGAGAAATTTAAGCACAGGTACGCCCCCCAAATTTTTTAGGACAATCCTTTGCTTTGTAACTTTAGTTTACAATTGATATTTTTTTCAGAACAGCCGTTTTACGGAAATTATTCGGCGTTAGATTCTCATACAAGCACCGTAATCTTTCACGCGTTTGCCTGCTCGTCAAGATGGCGTCGAAAACCGTGACAAGGTCTATTATAGTTTAGTTATGTGTTTAGACTTGTTCCATACGGTGCCCTTGTTTTGTCTGTTCAGCCTTTGAAAAACAACGTGAAACGTGAAAATGCATCTGCTTTGTTTGTGGTGGAGGTGTATTGTTCCGGTGCGAAAAGTAAGGTTATTTTGAGGTCTGAATTAACCCTTTAAGCCCTAAGAGTGATCAGCATAAAATATCAATGCTTTGTAAAACAGAGTGGTCATGAGAATCACGGACTTGATCACACAAGATGAATTTGCTTAATATTTTATCAACTCCCCCCCCAATACTCCTGTAGGAGATGAATAGGGGCAACAAATAAGAATTTAAATTTTGATCTGACGGTTTAAAGGGCTAAGCAGCGCTGCTAGATATACTCACTACGGCTTGCGCACCCGTTACAGTCAACTCTTGCTTTGTGTCAAGAGCCATTATGGCTCTTGTTTGTGTGCACCTCGCTATTACAGATAACAGCTGCCCAGCAAAAAAACGGACGTTTGAATGAAAAAGAAAAAAAATCGCTATTGGGGTTACAGACACTTTTGGTAGGGTCCCGGGAGCACAGTTTTATGTTCCGTTAAGGACGGCTAGATTTAAGCGTTAAGTAAATTAAACCGCTTCCCGCCTTTCTATTTATTAGCATATAAATTTGATTTTTATTCTTCACTCTTAAATTGTTTTTTCCTCCTGGTTATCTTAGAACATTGAAAATAGTCTTATATTCTAATCACACTGAAACGATTATAAAATAGTTTGTAACTAATCTAAATAATCACAAAACACAGAATAGGAGCGGGCATCTCGTTTATTGATGAAGCGAGCGTAAAGCGTTACAAAAAACAGCATTACAGTTTTACAAACTCGGAGAAAATTACAACAGTAAATAAAATTAAAAAAACTAGGGTTGAAAGAGATGCCTCGAATGGCTCTTGCATAGCTTAACAAACCTTAAATATTGTACTAGCCCGTTGAGACTCCTTACAAGCACTCCTTAAATACTTCAGCAGTATTATGCAACCTAATATACATACTCTTGTGAAACTAACAAAACGTTTCAAAATATATCGGCTGAAACACGTATTGAAAGTGAATTGACGACGGCGAAAAACTTCGCCTAAAGCTAAAAAGCTACACTTAAAGCAGGTCAAGCGTACCCCCCAAGATTTTATTAATGAATATGAACCCGTTAGTGGTTCCTGTATCAAATTGGCATTTCTGCATGCGTAATGAGCAGTGAATCTCTAACGAGAACTTCTCTGTATTAGGTCAGATTGAAAATCTTTGAATGGATTATAGTTCTTAGAAGGCATTTACATCAAATTCAGGGAAACTGAGTTGGCAGAAATTTCGTAACTGCCTCGCGTGTGAAGGGAGCTTGGGGGGTACGCTTGACCTGGCTTGACTGTAAATTAGTCAATATGACTGATCAATAATACCGGGTTCGACGGATGTGTATTTATAAAATCAGCCAGAACAACCAGCCTGACTATACTGACTTACACATCAAAGTTTTATACTAAAATATATGTTGTGACACCCAAACACAATATTTAAAACCTTTAAAATCAAACATTACTGACCCAACGGGGGAGGAGTGGTCGTTCAGTTGATTGTCACGTGACTATTCACGAAGCAACAACTTCCTTTAGAGCTAGAGGCGGCGACGTCCTTGCTTTCTTTCTTCCTTTTTCTGTCAATTTTCCAGCGGCATTTTCATTATTATTTACTGTTCTATGTTCAAGCTAAACAAAGAAGCTATTTCTCTGCGCACTAAGGTGTCTACCCCGCCTGGCTCGAGCCTTGTATGTCACGCGAACAGCTTCATACGCGGTTCATAGTATGGCCGGTAGTTACCAAAAGAGTGTTAGCCCTTTGTACATTTAAATACTCGTCCTCATCCTTTTGAAAGCAGCAATACCACGATAATGATTTTAACACTATCCCTCCAAGATTTCCAACGGTAACGACAACAACAGCAAAGATCGGAAACCACTGTGGCGTACTAGTATCATGAGGGCTAAAATAATACCCTAAGATCATACCGATGTTTTCCAAAGTAAATAGTACATACCATGAGACTGTAACAACCACTAATCGAGCTT